CTCCATTCCTTGATGTGAACTATGAACATTGAATTGACTAAAGTCAGGACCTAGGTAATACGTAATAAACTAACCTTAAACCTTGAGAAAACCACTACATGATCTTTCACAGAAGGAAAAACTTACCCCCAGACTTGGACCCCCTGTACCTTGGTAATACAGTCCTCAAACACGAACAAAATACTAAATTCCTCGGAGTTATTGTTGATGAGAAACTTAACTGGAGAAACCACATTCAAGCCATTCACAGTAAACTCAATAAACAGTGCAGTGTCATGTATCACACCCGACAGTCACTCACTCTCACAGCAATGAAAGAAATCTATCGTGATCTTGTTTACCAACACCTGATACACTGTCACACACTATGGGGGCCTCTGGTTCTTCAAAACACAATCCCTGGTTACTGCACAAAAGAGAGTTATGCAGACAATGACCTACTTGAAAAAAACATCATACAAATGAAAAATTTGCAAAATTAAAAATGTTAAAATTCAAAGGTATTAACACCTATTGCTGTGTCCTCTTTGTTTACAGATCTATCAATCACTTGCTTGACAATAATTATTTCCAGTTCTGGAATAATCAGAGATACAACATAAGGCACCCAGAGCTACTAAGACCACCCCCCATGCGCTCCTCTCAGTCCCAGACCTCCATAAAATATCACGGTGTGAAGGTGTGGAACAACTTGCCCCCACCCATCCGAGCAAAGACTACGCTCCCTTCCTTTAAATCATCTTAAAAAATATCTATTATCAAAGTATTAATACTTCTTGTAACACTTACTATATTTACAGTACCTGCTTTTATTGTACCACCAAAACCATTTTATCGGAAATTATCATGTAAATAGATAAGTAATTACCATTGCAATAAATATATTTGCCAACTAGACATACTCCTGACAGCTCTGTCCTCTTGTTCAACCTTAATACTGTAAAAACCATGTTGTACTGCTTCCCTATTATATTTATGTTTTTCAATTCCACTGTAATTTATGTATACCTATACCTGTACTTAAAATTAAAATAAAAGTATATAAAAAAATAATAAATAAATAAAATTAATATATATTGAAGTGATAACCGTGTTAATATTATGAGATGTTTTTATTGCCACCATGCTATTGTACTATTCCAGATGTTACTAAATGTTACATAATACTTCCTTGAGATAAATGTACTGTACTGTATAGTATATATCAGGTGCCTCAAAGAGAGCTCAGGTTCTCAACTGGCTCAGCCATGTAAATATTGTTATTATTATCCACTCTGTATCTGTGTTTTTCTGGCTAAATAAACTGTTTCAATTCCAATAAGTAAGTCTCTCCCATTTAGTTAAAATTTACACCACTTTGAATCTTCCAAAACATCCTCCTCCTGTACTCTCACCAGGCTGGCTCTAAGTTCTTGCCTAACATAGATCATGTTAGAGTTGCTATCTCAGAACAGAGAACAAATGCAAAGTATTATTCTATTATTATTGATCCAACTCAAGTCATGTTGAACAAACAACATTCATCTTACATTATGTTAACCTCAATAAAGAAACAACCAAATATGAAGTACAAGAATGAATTATGGAATTCAGTGATTGTAGCAAAAAACAAAAAAACAGCAAGTTGCTATTGCCAACTTGATTTGCTCAACACCTGAAAAACTCGATTCCTGTTATTGAATGTCATCAACAAGGTTACGACAATGGAAGTAACAGGAGTGGGGCATATAATGTGCACAAGCAAATTTTCTTCAGTGGAATCCTTTAGCAAAGTTCACTCCATGTGTCTGTCACTGTCTTAACTTGTGTGGAGTGCACACTGCTGAGTGTTGCCCTGAAGCAGCAAGTTTCTGGACATGGTACAACAGCTGTATAATCTGTTTTGTTGCAGTCCCCAGCGATGGGAAATTCTGAAGGAGTGCGTTGGAAGTTCTCTGCATTCAATGTCAGATACCCGTTAGAGTGCACGGGTGGACTCTGTACGGTGATATCCCCGCTAACCAGAACAGTTGGTGCAGAGCACTTCCTGGGATGAGAGATTTCCGGGTTATAAGAAGACTCTCTCAAAGGCGGAAAAAATCCCTCGTCCCCGAAATTTTCCGGGTAACGGAAAAATTTTCTCGGAAGTTCCAGAAATTGCCCATTACATCATCTCTTGAACCCGGAATTTTTCGGGCAATGTAAATTTTTCTCGGAATTTCCAGAAAATGCGCCTGATTTTCATCCATAAAACCCAGAATTTTCCGGAAAATGTACCCCTTAGAAAATCGTTCCCAAAGCCAGAATTTTCCAGAAAATTCCAGCCATGGGAACGATTTTTCGTGAAAATTTTAATTCCGGCTATCGGAGAGTTCCGGGCTTGAGGGATTCCGGCTAACAGAGATATTACTGACCAACTGCAGCTCGTTTGGCTAAGATTATCACTGCTGTGGAGTCTTTGAATAAGCAAAATTTGCTTGTAGAGACAAGTTCTGTGCTATGGGGTGTTTCAGAAAACATAACATCATTCAAGTGTAAAATCTCGACATCAATCCGTTTAAAGTTGTTGGTACAAAATGACTACAGAAGTAAACTGCTACAAACTCCAAACACTGCCATTGATGTTGAAGTCTAGAAGATTGAAAGTTTGTTAGTTAACTTAAGCTTTGTTTGAGAAAACTGGAATGTCTACTCTTTGAAACTAAAGCTCTTACAGGATTAGCCCACCAGAGTACAGGTCAATGGCCCACATCAGGGCCTGGGGGAAAAAATATAATAATAATAATAATAATAATAATAATAATAATAATAACAATAATAATAATATAGGACCATAAATAAAAAAATATAAAATAAATGAAAATCAATAGTGAAACAATATACTGTATGTACCGTATGTTGTGTTGTCACAGTAAGAGAAACAATTAAAACCCTGCAATTGTGTGTAAATGAGGCAGAAAGTCAGTCAGATCAGTAACCTGAGACTTGGTCACAATTTTTGTGATGCCATATGACAGCAGGGTCTACCATTAGACAATACATTATGCTTCCAATATCTTCCCAGACGGTAGTACCTCCCTGTTTGGTAGCTGCTTACTACCAATGCTAATAAAATCAAGGCAGAATTTCCAGAAAAACACACCAAGAAGCAGAAAATGTTCCACAGTGAAACCCCAGATGAAGTGACAATTTCAAATCCGGCAAACTCGTTCACGACAAATGTTTTTACGATATTCTCGGCAATTTGATTTCCAACCTTAAAATTTTTTATTAGGCTATGAAGTTTTTAGATGAGAAATTTTGGTCTACAGTATATGGAAATACAGAGGGAGATGACTGAAATCCACACAGGAGAAAACTGAAAATTATTTGTTGAAGAGTACAGGTACATGTACAGTGCTGAGATCAACAACGTGGACCACTGGACCTCCTAAATATGATTCAGGAACTTAAAATTGCAAATTAATCTCTCAATTATTGTGTAGTTGTGCACAATGTTCTGCACTCTTTCAGTGACTATGGGTGAAGCAGAGGTCGTTCAGCACATTAGCTCATGTTAAAAACTGCCTCAGGTCAACTATGTGTCAAGAATGCCTCACAGATTTGGGAACATTGATAATTAAATCGAAACTTGCAAGAGACCCAAACTTTGATGACATAATTGAAACATTTGCTAACAGAACAGCCCACAAACCACCATGAAATAAGTTTTAGAAAACTTCACAACTAGAATAATAAGGTATTAACCATGTGTTTTTACTAACAAGTACTGTATTGGTATTACTATAGAATTTTTAAGTTTTGTTTTCACTTACCAAGAATGTTTTGATTTTTAATAAACATAAAACTATTTCATTCCAATAATTTGTTTTCAGTTACAGTGGTCCCTCGGTTAACGAGCACAATCCGTTCCAGCAGGTTGCTCGTTAACCGAAACCATTGTTTCAATGGATTTTTGAGTAATTGGTTCCAGCTCACCGAAAATTACCTAAATTCAACAAAAAAGGTAGTAAAGTTCACTTACTTTGAGGTGTGTATGTAGAAGGCTCCTGGATGATGATGATGATGACAATGATGGGAATTAGAATGGGGGTGGGGGAGAAGGGAGAAGAGAAGGCATTGGTTGCATTTATAAAGTTCCTTGCAAGGAATGTAATATGTTTTACTTAGGCCAGACAGGAAAAGATCTTGCAACTAGAATTAAACAACACAAATACAGTGTTAGGACAGGCCAGGAATCCAATGCTCTGTTTGTTCATTTGAGGGATAACAAGCATTGCATTGACTGGGATAATGCCTCCTCAATATTACCATGTAATTCAATTGATAGTAGGAACATCATAGAATCTAGTCTTATTGAACATACAGAAGCATTCAACATGAATTTGAGTAACGGCATGTACAAGCTGGACAATTTTGTAATTAAGAAGATTTGTAACCAGGTGAGAAGGCCGGGTCACCTGACCATCTGACCTGACCACCAACCGTTGTGTGCTATTTAAAGATTAGTAGGGTCATTACCTAATACCTGACCATTGTGGACCTGGTCTCACCCTCCTCTGTATATATACACCTTGGTTTGTATTTCTCTCTCTAGTCTGTACTCACCCCTGAAGATGTGAATTACACGAAAGCGCTTGGGAACTTCGTGTTTTCTTCTTTCCTTGTGGTTATCAGTATATATATATATATATATATATATATATATATATATATATATATATATATATATATGGATATATATATATATATATATATATATATATATATATATATATATATATATATATATATATATATATATATATATATATATATATATATATATATATATATATATATATATATATATATTGTCGAAGAAAAGTAGTAAAATTTGGGTGTTACAGAGATCAGTGGCCCTGCCCACCATCACCATAGAGGTAAAGGTGTATCTTTAAACATTTTGGTACTTCAGAAGCAGAGAATATAATTAAAACCAAGAAAAAACACAAAAACAACAGTAAACAATTATGACTCACAAATATTGTAAACAAGAGGCAGCAGCAAACAGTGACAATTTTATAGTGCCAAGGAAGAGCTTCTGACAGGTGATCCTTGCAGTGGAAGCCTCTCTACCAACAGCTAGAATAAATATTAATTTGGTTAAAGGTTTCTAAATGTGATTGATATGTTCCCTTTTATATACAGTAGCTATACTATGTTAATAACCGACATTTCATGAAGCTTTTACAAAATGGTAGTTTACCTTTACTGTACTGTACGTACTGTATTTCTCCTGTATATATTTTTTTTAAGGTTAGGTTAGGGTAATTATGGTAAAATTTGGTGGTATTATTTTACTTTTGGACAGCGCCCCCAAAAGTTACAAACTACTGAAACACTTAGATCTCCCTATTCTGACCATTTTGAACCCCATATATACCTGGCGGAAATGGATACTAGTGATACAAATGAATTGAATTTATTTAACGTACTTTTCAGTCTTTGTGAGATGTTATCTGAGCATCAAGCATGCGCAATGTTGACTGACGTCATCCAGTCGTGACCAATGATGTATCGATTTCATCACGCGAATTTTTTTCAACCAATCACATTTTATTTTTTTCAAGGGAAGCAGCCTGGGTAATTTCATTGACCAGTCTCACATTGGCCATGGTGGAGGTTGGTTGTCATTTGTGCTCCTACGATTATTTTAAGTTTATTGTCGAGTTTTACGAGAAAGACGATCATTCTATCCAATTCTTACGTATCCCTGGTCCTTCAATTTCTAACTAAGGTAATGTACTTTCAGACACGGCACGCCCCAAAGTTTTTAACTACTGAAACATTTAGGGGTATTATTGCGTTTAAACATTCCCACTTACTACCGCTAATCTATTATCATATTCTAAGAAGACGTCTAATTATTAGATAATTTTCATCTATTACATTACCGCCGGAAATGTATATTAATGGAGATAGGAAATCCAAAATTTTCTCGATTTTTTTCTATAATCTTCAGCCATTTAACGCGTACTTCACCTTTCACACTGCGTGTCTCCTGCGCGTCTCCTTCATAAATCATCACGCGCATGCGTTCCCGTACACGTCATGCGACCAATCAAAAACCTTTTCTTTTTTTTTGCAACCAATTAAAATGATTTTGGGTTTAATTCACAATATTTTTGGACCAATCAAAATCGATTTTTATTTTGGGTCTCATATTTCGAAATTCAAGTTCAGTTCCGACCATGGAAGCCTGCGATGGGTGTCATTTCAATTATATGGAGCTGATTGCGAGTTTTGGGAAAAAAACGAAGAAACTATAGCATTTTTTCGATAGCATGGTGTTCTTCCAACCTCAGTAAAGTGTACTAAGAGCAAGACTGAATGTAAATATCGCAAAGACCAACATATGTGGCATTTGGCAAGAATCTCAGAATCCAATGACGAACAAGAACCAGGCCAATAAGGTAAGAAATAGGTGATTCCATCATATGGTGAGAGTCAGTTAGGTCAGGTTAGGTTAGGTTAGGTTAGGTCAGGTCAGGTCAGGTTAGGTAAGGTTAGGTTAGGTCAGGTTAGGTAAGGTTAGGTTAGGTTTTTCTAGTGTTTTGGTGTATTTTTTATATGGCTAGCAATTATTTTTTTTCGAAGTCTCGAAAAAAATTTATAAAAAAACCGGAAAATTTCCGAAGGAAATGAAGGTCATATTCGGTCGAAACACACATAAATACACTAGAAAAATTTATTTTTAACTTTCTAACAGATGGGGAGGTGGAAGTGCAAATTTACCCATTTAGGTTAGTTTAAGCTAAGCCTACCAGGATCCGCCCCAGCTAGGGGTCAGGTTAGGCCTGCCGGGGGTCCGGGACAGAGCCCCTGGCTAGGAGTTAGGTTAGACGACTCATTTTCGTTTTCTCCCCCACCCAAAACACAGATTTCCCAGGGCTCCCCCATTATTGTTGGGCAAAAACTAGCAATTTCTGCTAAAAATGAAGATCAGATTTATATAAAACACACCAAAATACACTGGAAAAACATATTGGTCAATTCCTAGGGACTCATGTCCTAAAGCAAAAACATTTCCAATTTGGTTAAGTAAGGTTAGGGTTAACTTTAACTTTTAAATAAACACTTTTTAACACATTTGCCATAACTACGACTTGAAAACAGTTAAATTGCGGAGTTTTTGACTTCGTTTACCATTAAAAATAATCGGTTGTGAAGTAGTAAATACTTACCGTCAATAACTACCCATATAGTTGTTGAACATATTGATAAGTGATTAAATTGGCTGATGTTAAGGCAGGAGCCAAAGGTGATGAAGGAACGGCTGGCTCTTTAAATTAACAACTCTCATTAATTCAGCCTAATTCTACATCTTGTGTCTTTATATAACTTACCAAGATAAAGATATTGACCTGCTTAATATTGTCCTCGGTTAAAGTATGTCTGGCAAAGTTGTCTGTAGCTTTAATAAGTAGTAATTGTTCAACACACACACACACGGACTCCCCCTCCGTTGGTGTCGTCTACAACTCTACCAGTGACTCGTGTGACTCGTTGACCGGCCTGAGTAGTGACTCGTGAGACTCGTTGACCGGCCTGAGTAGTGACTCGTGAGACTCGTTGACCGGCCTGAGTAGTGACTCGTGAGACTCGTTGACCGGCGTGAGTAGTGACTCGTGAGACTCGTTGACCGGCCTGAGTAGTGACTCGTGAGACTCGTTGACCGGCGTGAGTAGTGACTCGTGAGACTCGTTGACCGGCCTGAGTAGTGACTCTGTGAGACTCGTTGACCGGCCTGAGTAGTGACTCGTGTGACTCTGCTGACCTATGTGAGTAGTGACTCGTGGACTGCTGACTGGCGTGAGTAGCATCCAGACTGCCGGTCGCGTGAGTAGTGACTCGTGAGACCTGCTGACTGGAGGCAGAGGAGTAGGACTCGTGAGAGACCTGCTGACCGGCGTGAGTAGTGACTCGTGAGACCTGCTGACCTGGCGTGAGTAGTGATCAGGAGACCTGCTGACCGGCGGGGAGAGGTGACTCCCGTGAGACTGCCGACTGGCTTCCGAGTAGTGACTCGTGAGACTCATTGACCGGCCTGAGTAGTGACTCGTGAGACTCGTTGACCGGCGTGAGTAGTGACTCGTGAGACTCGTTGACCGGCCTGAGTAGTGACTCGTGTGACTCGTTGACCGGCGTGAGTAGTGACTCGTGAGACTCGTTGACCGGCCTGAGTAGTGACTCGTGAGACTCGTTGACCGGCCTGAGTAGTGACTCGTGAGACTCGTTGACCGGCCTGAGTAGTGACTCGTGTGAGAATATTACGCTGTATTTATTCTGTTGGATATAATATTATCACACGTTATTAGTTCATGTATTTTGAATTCTTTCGTACATTCTAACTAAAAATATAGTTAAAAGAATTATTTTAACACAAGTACCTATAATTCAACTAAACCTCTAATTTGAAATTCAATATTCAGGGATCCAATATATTCTTTTACTTTACTTTTATCCTCTTCGCCACTGATCGGCTCGTTAGCCGCTTGGGCGATCGGTCACGTCTCTGATTACTTTTCCTTTTCATTTATCTTCTTCACCAAAAGGTCGGCTCTTTTTATTTTCAAGTACTTAACATTTTTTAATAACTAAAAAATATTTTTGGAAATTTATTCTTTATCATAATCCTGAGAGATTTTAATTTGTAATTTAGCGTCATCTTAGGGTGTTGTAGTGGATTGTGGGGTTCAGGATGTTTGGTGTTCACAGCGTGATGTAGAGAAAGCTGGTTGGTGAGGATGCTCAGAGGAGGACCAGCTTGTGGGTCACCATGCTCTCCGGCGGGAGCGAGGACCGCCAGGCAGGCGGAGGAGGAGGAGGTGTTGCTGCCTGGTTGGTGTAGGTAGAAAGAGACAGGTCACCACGAGGTCAGGTCTTAAATAGCGGGGGGTAGGCGTGGCTTAGTAGTTGACCCCCGCTCCGTAATGTATGGCGGCGCTGGTTGACCTAGACCACGAGGCATACACTGGGGAATTGGTGGGGTCGGCTACTCAGCGACAAACAGCGTTTGTAGGGGAGAAATCCACTACAGGATCCCTCCCCTACAAACGCTGTTTCTCGCTGAGTAGCCGACCCCGCGAATTCCCCAGTGTATGCCTCGTGGTCTAGGTCAACCAGCGCCGCCTTACATGACGGAGGTCAACTATCTACCCACGCCTACCTCCGATATAAAAGACCTAACCTCGTGGTGACCGCTCTCTTTCTACCTACATCAACCAGCAAGCAACACTGTAGTGGATTTCTCCCCTACAAACGCTGTTTGTCGCTGAGTAGCCGACCCCACCAATTCCCCAGTGTATGCCTCGTGGTCTAGGTCAACCAGCGCCGCCCACGGAGCGGGGGTCAACTATCTACCCACGCCTACTTCCGCTATAAAAGACCTGACCTCGTGGTGGCCTCTCTCTTCTTCTAGCTACAGCCACAGCAAGCAACACCACCTCCTCCTCCTGCCTGGCGGCCCTCGCTCCCGCCGGCGAGCATGGCGACCCACAAGCTGTACTCCTCTGACCATCCTCACCAACCAGCTCTCTCTACATCACGCTTGTAACTATGCTGCCTTCCCAGCACCAAGCTGCATTGTACATCCAATACAACATGTATACAGAGAGCACATTGTGAGTTTCCTTTCTCCATCCCATCCTGAGTGAGAACCCAAACATCACGTACCCCACAAATGGTGACCTCGGAGTGACACACTCACACAGGATGGAAGCCCAAACAACCCGTACCCCACAAATGGTGACCCCCGGAGATTCTCACTCACACAGGATGGAGGAGAAACTGATCACTCTCCCAGTCTTCAAGCAACATGGAAGACTGACTTATCCACACAGAAGCAGCTCTCAGCAGCTCTACAGCTACTGTCTCTGCACCGCAGGTTAGACACCCTAGAGCAGCTCTGCGACTCTAAGCAGACAGCCGCTCCTCTTCCTGCCCCAAGCACCACGTCCTACCTACCCCAGCACACCCGTCCTGCCTCAGACGCCGCCCCCGGCCCAGCAGTAACCCCTGCCGCTCCTCCTGATGCAGCCCCTGCTCCCGACGCGGCCCATGCGTCTGAGTGCCGACCCACACACCCCTCTTTTCTCCCTCAGGTACTCCCTGCTACTGTCCTGCACCCTGCTGCTGTCGTGGACCCAGCTGCTGTCACGAGCCCTCATCCGCTTCTGCTGACGCAGCCCCTGCTCCTGACCCTGGCCCACACACCCCAGCAGGCACATCTGACGACTCTGTACCTGCCGTGAGGGAAGCACAACAGTCATCGCCTCCACACACCCTTTTTCTCCCTCTCTACTCCCACAGATATTGTGTATCTAAACAGTTGTCTCCTCTAGCGGCCGGCTCATCCACGCCCTCGCCGTTATGGCTCACATGTGGCATGCACCGCCCGTTCTGCCTCACATGTGCCATGAACCCCTGCAGACAACAAGTCTCCTACACCGCCTGGAGGGATGGAGGGAGTATTGTAGTGGATTTCTTCCCTACAAACGCTGTTTGTCGCTGAGTAGCCGACCCCGCGAATTCCCCAGTGTATGCCTCTTGGTCTAGGTCAACCAGCGCCGCCTTACATGACGGAGGTCAACTATTAAGCCACGCCTACCTCCGCTATATAAGACCTGACTTCGTGGTGACCTACCTCTTTCAACTTACCGCCACCATCAAGCAACATCTCTCAACAGTTCCACACCACACGCTCCTTCAGAAAGCTCCTCGCCCTACAGGAACTCTGAGCAAGCTTCGCCCGACCTAGTATCTCTTTAACACTGTGCTGTGCAACAATATATATTACGGGAAACACATTGTGATTTTCTATTTCTACCTCAATCCTGAGTGTTGGATATATTACATGTACGTACGTTGTGAGGCCAAATAAGAGACCCTGACAACCTCCCACAACAGTACGCTACAGTGCTAGTGAAGTTTATTAAAAAAAATAAAGCCATATGATTTATATTAGTATTAACCATTGCAAAATACAGTGTACTTAGCAAGTGCTGCAGCTTCTGAGAATAGGAGGAGGGGCGGGGTTACAACTAAGAGTATGAACGTTCCCGAGAACAAATTCTGGCTTGAAAGTCATGTGCACTAATACTGACACGTTCCTTGATAAGAGAGAGGAGTTTGAAACACTACTGAAGGTACACAACCAGATACCCTGAGAGATTGGAGCGCCTGAACTTGCCTAGCTTATACTACAGACGGGCAAGGGGGGACCTAGTTGAGGTGTATAAGCATCTCAGGGGGCACTACTCAGTTGAGTGTCCTTACTTGGAGCTGGCGGACGCTCGCCCCACAAGGGGTCACAGCTCAAGATTGAAGAAGCCGCAAGTCCAGAAAAACGTGAGGGCAAACTTTTTCGGAGTGAGGGTTGTAAACTCTTGGAACAATCTACCAGAGAGTGTTGTGACGGCACCGAGTGTGAGCTCTTTCAAGACAAGACTTGACCAACACTGGAGCGGGTTCAGGTGCATTCAGGAGCCGGTGCATGCCCAGTATTTGCCAACAGTGCGTGACAGAGACGTGACCGATCGCCCAAGCGGCTAACAAGCCGATCAGTGGCGAAGAGGATAAAATGAAAAAAAAAGGAATGTGAGTTCAGTATTGCTGGATATGACTCATTTACGAACCTTTCAAGAAAATTGCAAGAGGGGTTTGGTTATCTATGCAAGGCAAGACCTTAGAGCCAGCCAGGCGAGGGTACAAGCAGAGGATGTTTATAAAGAGTCCAAGTGGTGTAAAATTAAATTAAAGGGAGGGGACTTACTTATTGTAGGGTGTATCTACAGATCCCCAAACTGTAGCATACTAAATCAAAGGAACTTAAGAGCCTTAATAGACAATGCAGCGATGCTCAACCCTAGCCACCTCCTTATCATGGGGGACTTTAACTATGGCGACATCGACTGGGGAAATGAGTTCACCCCAAATGACTTGAATAACCCTGCTACTCTTTTGGAGAATCTCCGAGAGATAATTTTCTGTTCCAACATGTTAGAGACCCAACACATTACAGAGGGGAGCAAACACCCAAGCCACGAGACCTCATCATAACAAACGAGGAGGGTATGGTGGCCAAACTGGAACACCTTGCCCCAGTTGACACCAGTCACCATGTAGTGTTATCATTCAGATTTAACTGTTACCTAGTTCAGGATAAGGCCAGGCCAAGGTGCAAATGTTACAAGGGAAATAACAACGGGATGAGGGGGGAGATGGGGGGTATCCACTGGCCTGACTCATTAAGGTACAAGAACGCAGACACTACGCTGAATATCATAACAAGTAAAATGACCCATTTGATCGATAAATATATACCCAAGACCAAACCCAGTGCCTCTAGGAATACGAGGGGATCCCTACACATGAACCATGTGGCGGTCGACAAAGTTAAGAAGAAAACCCAGAAATTCAAGACGTGGATTGGGTCAAACGATGAGCAAGACAGGAGGATGTATGCAAGAGCCAGAAACCAAGCAAAGATAGAGTGTAGAAGGGCTGAAATGGAGTTCCAAAGGCTGGTTGCAAGCGAGGTCAAGTCAAACCCAAAGGCGTTTTACCGCTATGCAAAGTCGAAATTAAAAACGCGAGTAGGAGTATCAGACCTGAGGCTTGAAGATGGTAGTTACGCAGATTCTGACCAGGATAAAGCTGAGGCATTGAACAGCTTCTTTTCCTCGGTGTTCACAAGAGAG